ATCTGAGGCCCCATCTCAAAACCTGTCAGCTGGCTAGCCAGCTCTGATGTTTTGAGCTCGCCACAGAAGGATTCCTGAATCAGACGGCTGGGGTTTAGGGTTTAGGGTTTAGAGTTTTGGTTTAGGGTTTAGGGTTTAGGTTTACCAATTATTGGTGTCTGAAAAGTCCCAGGTGCAGGGTTAGCACTCTTCTGCGGTCTACCTATAGTCTCCAGTATCGCTCCTTTCTGGGTTTACGTGCTAGGATCCTAAATATCACATTTACTGCTGGTGCATTGTGCCGTAGAAGAGGACCTACAACGCGGGCTATTACAAATAAGGGGTTTCGTACGATGGCGTTTTCGACGATGGCGGAGTTTGGGGACGGCTATGGTTTCGTAGGCATGGTTTGTAGATTTCATGCTTCAGAGGTTTCGGTTTGGGGCATGCGGCATGATCGCCTGCTTTGATTAAGTTTTCTATATAGAGCATGCCCGCAACATGTCAACAATGCTTAACTACTTTGGGTTTAGGCTGTAGGGTGAAAGGTTTCAGGTTGATCGATTAGCGTGAGATTGTATGGTTAGGATTCGGATGTGAAGGTCGTGATTGATGGGGTAGTATTGGGTTTGGGAGTTACATTTAAATAAAGTTGACAAACTATATTGCTGCACATTTGACCGCTTAGGCGTAGATACATCGAACTATAGCGCCATGTATGCAAAGGCTTAATGAGAGCTTCCGCCTTAAGACAACACCTTATTGGGCTCAGGGGTTTAGGGTTTTCAGGTCTCCTGCTGTTGGCGGACTGATTGCTCAATTAATTTAGTAACCAAGCCACGGTTTAGAGTTTAGGGTTTAGGGTTTAGGGTTTAGGGTTTAGGGCGTACGGAAGCTCCTTGTTCAGGACACTGCAGGCTGTTGCCAAGCAGCACTAGTAAGACTGCAAGCGATTCCTTCCCGCAATTCTGTGAGGGCTCCGAAGTCGATCGGTTCAAATCCACGGGCGGTCTACAGCATAAGCCTTGCACGAGAAGCTCGATTCCAAGTACCCTATAGCCTATAACTAAAGCTTACTAAAGCCCTTAATTTACGACGACCGGGGACCATGTCGTCGTACAGTCAGTTGGGCACGTTTTTTTGCTTTTGTTGAAGGATCGGCCTTCAAGTAAAGCACCCCACAGGGGCCGCTGAAAGCCGCAACGCCCCAAACCTTGTGCGCCCTGTGCCTGCGGCTCAAAGAAAGCCATAAACTCTCCAGAACAATGGCCTTAAGCCGTCGGCTAGGATTCCTTTGAGTCCAATGAGCCTTTTTGCGACCCCTAAACTCGAAATCCCCCGATATTGAACGTTTTTGGGTTTAGGGTTTAGGGGTGAGGCCTGAAGCTTTAAACCCTAAGCCTTACAATCAGAAAATCTACCACCCCCCTCCTGCCCCCCCACACACACACACACATCAAGCCGAGGCGGTTGGGGGTGCTGGTGGCTACGTCATGTACAAGCAGAGGCATGGGCTGTGTGGGCTGTTTAGGCTTATAGTCTCCAGAAGGTAGCCCACAAACTAGTCTCCGTTCTTGTTCCTAATTTTGTTTACCTAGTTTTATAGTTAACATCCTAAAGGGTAGCTCAAAACGAGGCATGTCGCGAACTCCGGACCACCTTCACATGAAGTCCCTACGAAGTAGGGCAGGATCTTCACTAAAGCAGTGAGGATTCTGTTGACGACGAAGCTTAAGACAGCTTGGGGTTTTGAATTTGTGGTGCCAGGGAGCAGGGATGATGGTGGCTGTCACGATTACAGGTATCCGGTTTAAGGTGAATGGTTTCTGCATGAAGAATGCAATTATGGGGGAGGAGCTGGAGGAGTGCGTCTCTGTTTATCCAGCTCAAAAGAACACCGAGGCCTGCTTATAAACCCTGAAGCCCTGCAGGCTTGCGAAGAGCCGTAATGGACGCATATTCCTTCAGATCGTTACCAAGAAGTCGTCTCCAGTTCGAAAGGCTCCTCGAAGACAAGTTGCCTGCACCATTATGCGGTGTAAATGAAGGGACCTCATCAAGAAAGCCTGGTCCTGTATTAGGGTTCTTTATAAGAACCCTACTATTTTGGGGAGGGTTTCTTCATCAGGTTCCTACATTATTGGTCTCCTGGAGCCTTCCAGGAAAATTTATGCAGAGCCGCTCAAAAACTTGGTAAAGCCCTGCGGGGTCCAGCAAATCCCAATGAATTCGGGCTCCCATTGAACCCTAAACCCCAAGCCCAAAACCCTGAACCCTAAACCCTGTTTGAACCCTAAGCCCTAAACCCTAAACCCTAATTGAAGCCTAAACCCTAAACCCTAGTTGAACCCTATACCCTAAACCCTAGTTGAACCCTAAACCCAAAACCCAAAACCCTAGTTGAACCTTAAGCCCTAAACCCTAAACCCTAGTTGAACCCTAAACCCTAAACCCTAGCTGAAGGCTAAACCCTAAACCCTAGTTGAACCCTAGCTGAAGGCTAAAGGACAACAAGGCGGTCACTGCCGAGGACTTCAACGCAGCGCAGGACCAGGCCCGGGGCCTTTCAAACGACAGCGAAAACCAAGTAGGGCATTAGGGTATTGGGGTTTAGGGTTTAGGGTTTATAAGGGTTTAAGGTTTAGGGTTTAGGTTTTATAAGGGTTTAAGGTTTAGGGTTTAGGGTTTATAAGGGTTTAAGGTTTAGGGTTTAGGGTTTAATGCTTAGGGTTTAGGGCTTTGGGTTTAGGGTTCAGCAGCTCTGACCTTGAAGTTTCTTTTCAAGCTATCTTCAAGAATAAGTAAACCCCACCCGCCCATAGAATCCCCTCACATTAGAACAATCTGTTTTACTTGTTAAGGAATTTTTACTCAAAAGCCACGAGTTAATGATCAAGCGCCACGAAGTAATGATCAAAAGCCACGAGGTAATAGGAACAAAATGACCCAGAGCCACGAAAATGATCGAAGGCCACGAATTAATGATCAAAGGCCACGAAGTAATGACCAAGAAACAGAGAAATTATCAAAAGCCACGAGTTAATGATCAAGCGCCCCGAAGCAATAGAAAAATGTGACCCACAGTCACGAAAATGATCAAAAGCCACGAACTTATGATCAGCGGCGGCCACGAATTAATGATCAAAGTCCACGAATTAATGACCAAGAAACAGGAAAACAATATCAAAAGCCAGGTGAGTAAAGCCACGAATTAATAGTGTTTAATAATATTTTTTGCCACGAGTCAATCATCAAAGCCACGAATGACTATAAGGTTCAAATTACTAGGGGTAGAGAGGTTTAGGGCTTAGGGTTTAGGGCTTAGGGTCTAGCAGGGTTTAGGGCAGTATTCACTGTTGTTCCCTGTATGAGCTGCTTCCCTAACTGTAGCTCCCAAAACCCTAAAACGGGCTTAGCCCTAAAGCCTGAGCCCTAAACCAAGGCTTACCCTAAACCTAAGGCCCTAAACCCCGAACCAAGACGTCCCTAAACCCTAAGCCCTAAGGCCCTAAGAGTTCCGATTCGAGGCTTTAGCTGAGGTTTAAAAATTTAGGGTTTAGGGTTTAGGGTTTACTTACGGCTTCGGCGCTAGCAGCTCTGAGGACGGAACACTTCACCTGGACCCTCCATTGTAACATAAATTTCTGCCTGGGGATGTTTTCCGCTCGTTCCATGCATACAAGTTGGTTTCAGAACGCTTTCGAAGGTTTCCGATCGTTTCATTAGAAAACGCACGTTCATGCTAAAAACGGACACAAGACAATCTGATGTCCATGATGCTCTACCACAGCAGCTGCAGCTACATCAGCCGCGCTCCCAGCTTTTTCAGCACTGCCGCTTGCGAAGCTGGTCTTTATACCCCCCTAGCATCTTCTGTATTGTACGATAGGAGCAAGACAAGGCATGCGTACCGCTACGTCTGGCCACTCTAGCGGCTCTTCCTATAAAGTCTTCGTCGCTCCAGCACGCTGCATCTTAGCTGCGAAGTCACTTGCAAGCCCATACGTGGCACATATCCCCACAGATCACATCACCTGGTCATATGCATGATGCTAGCTGCTTGCAATCCTTAAGCCCAGCACTCATGGGATTTATGCAGTGTAGACCAGCAACGGCACACATCATCAGATGCTCCCTTGGGGCTCAGATGGGGCTGTTTCAGTGCATCAACTGTTGCATGCTGTGTAGATCAAGCAAGTCGCGAAAAGTGTTCCTGCATGTGAACTTTCGGTCGTACTTTGAAGAGCTGCATTCTTCTGGCCGGACATTCCTTCGCGAGGCAGATGTAGCCAGCCTAGGCCACATCTTATAATTCCAAGAGAAATGAATGTATACTTATCTGTAAATCTTTGCACTGCATATAATCAATGCAGTCATTGAGTCTGTCATCTCGTGGCAAAGCTTGGAAGCTTTGAAGCAGGTTGCAGGGTCCAGCCACAAGCCTCCATAATGAAGTATACGGAAGTATGCATTCGTGCACTGGAGCGCATAAACCAGCATAGTGAAAAGACGATCCGAACTCTCCTCAGTTGTATTATACCGATATACGGATGATATCAGTAGTCAGTGGGGATTCTAATTTAAGCTAGGCATCGAAGTTGCCCACAAAAGCCTCCAACCAGGACGTCATCAAGGCTGTGTCAGCCCCTCTGCCCCCCGTTGCTGTTGGATATCCGGTCCCATTCACCCTTGGTGATAGTTAGATATATTAATGTCAGGAAACCCTAAACCCTAAACCCTAAACATTACAGAAAGGGCACCCCATTTTGAAACCACTTTTCGTAAAGGACCGTATGCTAGTGGACTTCCCATTCCTGGAGCACCATTGGACAAACTCGGAGTAGGCATAGCATAGCTGGTTTGGGAGGCCGCGCCCGGGGAGCAGCTTCAGCTTGCATAGCAGCACGAGACCACTTGTGACAAAGTCTTTCCCACATCTTGGCACAACAGTCAACAAAGCTAGTCGTAAAGTGCACAATACAGCGACATGAGCGTTGCATGTATACATTCTTGCAGCGGAGTCACCCAATGTGCCAAGTGTGGGCGGGGTCGATCAATGCTTTCGAAGCTATACCTAGCCCAGGCACTTTGACCAGGGGCGATTTCTTCGCTTTGAAGGGTGTCGAGCCCTTGGAGAATCGCCAGCGAGCATCTGGGGACATGTTGTACCACTCCTTAGGTTTAAGACTGGTAGGCTTTCCATGCACATGATATATTGTACATCCGAGAGTCTGCACTGCAGCAGACATGGCACAACCGTTTGCATTGCCATCCTGTTTTCAGTGACATCGCCTCAGTCATGCACAAGTGCATGTAACATAGTGTATTGCATGCATGCATGCATGTTTAAATAATGCACAGTCACCTTTCTGAGGTACACCCAATCGCCTTTGACCCCAATCATTGCGAAGTAGATAGTGATGGGGCCCTTCGGAGTTGTCACCTTGGATCTATCTGCTGCAAGGACTGCGGGTCACATTTGTGTTAGGCAACAAACACGATAGGTGGGGTTCTAATGTAGGCTTGATCTATTAATTGCAGTCTCAGGACCTCAATCCCCTTGGTGAAGAGATCTGTGAGGTCTTGCGCTAGGTGGTGGTTCAGGGCATCGAGGGTCTCATCTCCCCAGTAAAGTTCAGCAGGGAGCACAGAATACAGGAACCTTGTTGTGTACGTATGCCTTGGCATCACACTGCATTTCCATCAAGCACTCTACTCCCCTATGATTGTTGCAAACCATGTGGCCCCGAGGAGTTTTTGTGATCCACTCCTTTCCAGGAAATGACTCCTTGCACTGCCTCCACCATCACTGGTAGCTTGTATTTGCCTCTGCCTTCATCACCATGCAGGTAGAGGGGAACTGTGCAGCTCAAGGTTGCTTCGGACTTGTACTTGTGCATGACATGGGCTTTGTCCATTAGCAGGTACTTCTGCCAAAAGTCACATAGGAGGGCTTGCCACTTGTGGGGCTCCTTGACATCAATTCCTCCAAGAATCAAGTAGGACTGTTCCTTCAGCAAGAAAGACATCCATGTGCTAGGGCAAATCACTGGATAGAAGACCTTGACTTTTGACAACATGGGTCTCCGCTTGCGTACAGGGATGCAAATGAATGTAATATCCAAGGGCAGTGTGAACCCCTCCCGGTGGATCAATCGATGTAGGTTTCTGCAAACATTCTGTTTGCTCCGACCAGCAGCAGATATCTTGTAGAGCATGTCGAGCTGTCCTAGCTAGTGCACGTGTATGCTGTGGAATTCTCATCATGCCTGACATTGCAGACTAGCTTCTCCGACCACCTCCAACTTTACACACCAGCTCAGCCATCTCAGCAGCACCCTTTGCAGATTCAGCCTGAGCTATGGGGTAGCCGGGTAGCATCTAACCCTTAGAATCATCACAAATATTAATTAAATTGCAATTGAGATACACCACTGAAGTATTTCGAAAGTATCTCCTCAGAAGCTTCGAGGTCCACGTCGTGATCTTCTTGATCTTCAAGTCCAGGAGGTCCTGGGCTTGGAGAGTACATCAGGGGCTAGCACTACAAGTAGTGCACTTGCATGGACATGGTGATTTGCCAGGTAGTTGTCACAAAACCTGCCAAGTCACCTCCAGCCAAGCGCTGGAGATCAGCATCACAGGCACCATGAACACCTGGCTTGCCCAGAGGGTCCAAGGCAGTTAATAGCTATAGAAGACACCACACGGTTCAGTGCATGCATACATATATTTTTCTGCCACACATCCCCGTCGCACATCCCCCAGCAAACTTCGCGAAGCTTGCAGGCACGCATATGCTCTATTGCATATGCATGATCACAATAATTATCGACCGCGGCAGAACCTGTGGCCATAGTCTGGATCTCACAAAACATACAGCTCTAGGGGTCCCAGAATTTTAGGTTTCAGGTCTTAACTTCGATCCAGCACCACAGATCCACGAATGCAAAAGCCAATCTAGTGTCCTCGCTTCCTTTTGGAAGGGGCCGGCTTGGCTGCAGGCTTCCTCTTGTTGCTCGACTTCGGGGATGCCTTGGTGGTCTTGGCCTTGGCCTTCGGGGTGGCTTTCGTAAAGTTCCTTAGATCTCATAGCATGATCGACACTATGTTGCTAGCTTCTCATGTTGCAAGAAAGCTACTTCGATCGCACCATCAAGGCATTGATGGCCAGGTCCAGGCGAGTGCATGCTGCGTAGCACTTGAGCAAGCTCTCTTTCGTACTCCTCTTTAGCTAGCATATGCATGATGGATCGATGTTTTGCAAAAATATATTATAGACTTGTGCAGTCCTCTTCGGCGGGGTACCAGCATCGAGAACAGCATCTGTCTGGAACTTCAGCAAGCTCTTGTTCATCAAGTCCAGTTCTTTGGTTTTGGGTTCCATCTCACCAGCAAGCCTACAGTCATCGATCACGGTAAGTCAGCACATGCAAACAAACAAAAACAACGACAGCCCAAGATCTTAATGCGGTCGAAAAACGCAACGGCTCGCTTGCTCCCGGACGTGACCAGCCTGTCCTGCAGCTAGCTCTATCATCTAGACATATATATATATATATATAGAAAAAAGCCCACATCTACAAAGCCTATGGCCTGAGCCTTTTGGATTTAGAAGCATGCACCCTATATCGATTAGTACCATATAAACCATCCCAAACAGCAGACCGACCAAGGTACAGACCTGAAGGTCCGTTGCTTTGTCGACCTTCTTGCCAGTCTGGTCAATGTACTGCGCCAAGACACCTCAGATAGGTTTCAGGGCCATACATTATGTAGTAGGGTTTCTAATGTACATGCATGATAAGTTCATGGGAGAGTTGCTGAATACATCTTGGTTAGCCTGCAGAACAGGCAGGCATTTCTCTTTGGCACCACTGGCAGTAGAAGCCATTGCGCACCGAGCATAGTTAACATCAGTGGTGCCGCTGACGTTCCCCCTCAGCAAAGCAATTCTTTAAGGCATGTGTGGTAAGTGTCCATCGAATGCATGCATGTGCAGCCGGGTCTCTGCAAAGCACTTTTCTCAGTGACCGTGTTCGTGAAAAGGAATCCACTTGAGTCCTGTGGGCCAGGGCTTGTAATAGGTATTCATGGTTTGTAGGTTAGGGGCAGGCTGATGGGTTGAGTGTTTAGGGTTTTTGGATTGAAGGGGGTTGCTCTCTAGCTACAATGTTTTTTGGGCAGACCTCACCTGGACTTCAACAGATCCTTCTTGCGTGCAGCTTTGCTTCTCGCTGCTGCGGAACAGAAATGCCTCTTCTGTTGGAACCTTGTATTCTTCCGCTCCATGAACTTCATTAGTTCTCACTAGCCCACGGGCGGTTGCCCAGCGCATGGCATTCTTGACCATAGTTCTTAGATGAGCAAACAAGAGGTTACAGTGGCCATGTACACATGCAGCCAACTGAGTGCATGTATGCTATCCATGTAACTCACTCCAGCCTTTCAGGCCCATGCTGATTTCAGTCTCCCACCCACCACGGACATCGCTTTCAGCCAGCTGCTCCGACTGCTTTGTCAAATGCACCTCCACAGCCTTGAAGTCACCATGTTGCAGCAACAACTCCCGAATTTTCTCACCTAAGGTCACTGGTGCATGTGTTCGAGACAACGGCCAGGGACTCAAGCAGGTTCGCAACATAAGCTAGCACACCTACCACTTACAGTTGCTGGTAGGCTTCGTCCACCCGCAGAGTTCAGGAGGGTCATGGCCTGCTCGCTGCACTTGAGGGCCCCTTTCTTGTTCGGATTGAAATACCGGTTGATCCTTGGTCACACAAGATCGTTGAAAGTAACTTACATCAAGAGGCAAGACATGCATGCTAGGGTTCACTATAGACAGACAAGTTTCTTCCAATATGTCCCATCATCATAAATCGATGATTTCTGGCTAGTAGTCGAAGCAACAGAAGGGGCTGGCGAAGGAGGTGGAACCTTCTCCCTCTCCACACCATCAGAAGCAGAGCTGCTCTTGACAGTAGGGGTTGCAGCACCATCTGCGTGGGATGGTTGGGCCTTTGGGGTCTGGGGCCTTCTCTTGTTCACTCTGCGACCACGACAAGGGGTGGCAACAGGCTGTTTGGGCACAACAAGAGGAGGCGGCATCACCTTGTCAGGCATTGTTTGTCCTTGGTGTGCATGCCCGGGCATGAAGCTGCCAGTCTTCACTGATTCGTGAACAGCAGCACCGCTTGGCAGTCCTGATTGTGTTAGCAATAACGGGTGAATTGCATAATCTATTTTTCGGGAGTTAGGACACATGGCAAATACGATATATATACATACACATTATACATGCATATATATTAGAAACAGAGTAGAACTATTATATATTGAATATACATAATATATATAGTAATAATAATAATATAATATAGTAATAATAATAACAATATAAATAATAAATAATATATATATATATAATATTTATAGAAATAGGTTTATAGTTTATAGAGTACATATGTGGTTGTCGACGATCTATGTCATATTAATTAGATAGGCAGCCTATCCCAAAGTACCCCAAGCTTTGAATCCCAACACAGAGACCCCTGCAAGCCCCATGGTTCTCCAGAGCTTTAGGCTCCCAAACCCTACAACCTGAGAGGCTTCAACAAACTATGAGCACAGGCCCCTTTCACTAACCCCGAAGCCACCCAAGCCTAAACCCCATTTGCATGTCCTGTAGCATCCACACCATCATAGGCAGCCAGCTCCTGCTGCAGAGCCAGGATACGATTGGTCTCTTCCTGAGATTGCACAGGATAGAAGTCCAATCTAGGCAGGGCTCATGTCATGCAACAAATACCATATAGGGGTCAGGAGTCTAGGATCTGCGCATCCAGCTGGGAGTCAGAGTTGGGATTGCACTGATCAGCAACCATGGCTAAGCCCAGGTTGAGGGAGGTACACGTCACAGATCGCACCAATGGCATGTTGCAGCTTGGTCTTGACAGCACCACAAACCACTTGCCCAAGTGAAGCAAATCGTCCAACATGCAGCACACCGAGCAATTAAGCAGTAATTGCAAACAGGCAAAATTCCCAAAATTGCAATTTGCGCCTGTTTGCTGGGTTTTGCGCCCGTTTGCCTCACTTTTGCGCCCGTTTTGCGGGTGTTTCTGCCCGCGATTTTTTGCTTTGCAGCAAAAGCACTATGTACTGTACATCAGCCTCGTGTTGCCCACTATTGTCCAGCTGCAGCAGCTTCAAGATCAGCTCGCAGTGGGTCACCAGCAAGCACCTGATCAAGGGCCATGGGTGGGTTTGGGACAACTACGAGTCTCTAAGCTAACTGTTCTAGACTATGGCGCCGTCTAGGAACTGTGTCGAGAAGCTCAATGTTCAAGTCGTGCATAATGCTTTGCCAGGAAGATGGGATCAGCACTTGTTTATTGTTGTAAAGGTACGACCACACCTGCACCATCTCTGCATCAGGCCACGTGTCACCCAACTGCAACCCCTGAAACAGCTCCCGATCTGATACATCAGTGGCCACATGAACCTTCTGCCGCATGCTGAGGCGAGGCTGCCCAGATGTCCTTTCCTCGTCCCAGAGGGACAAGAGGCACTCGCCGAAGGCTCTCGTGTAGATCCTGGGATAACAGGTCTGGGCTACTAGTCTAGAGGTCTTGAAAGGCGGGTTGGTGAGGGTTTCTTCCACGAGCTGCTGCCAGCTAGTAAGCACACCTAATCTAAGGCACCCACCCACTCTCTTGCAAACCCTTCTTGTTCCCCACATATTTTCGCACACCAGCACCATCACGATAGTGGCCTCAACTGATCAAAAATCAAGCAAGGAGGCGATCTATTTGATGAGTAGCCCATACTATAGACTTCCCTGTGAGGATCCAGCGTGATGTGACAATGCTCGTAGAAGCCCTCGTTTCCTTACTGGGAGGCGAAGAGTCCTTGGGCCATGAACACATACACTAGGCAGGTCGGTCTTACATGTGATGGATTTAAAATTATCAGCTGAGCCCAGAACAATTCCTTGGCACATGATGCTTGAGTTGCCCCATAAGACTGTCGGCTTTGGGCAGCCAGCACCATACCTCATAAGCCAGCAGCTGGTTTTGTAGACCTGGGCTGATCGAAAAGTAATGTGGGACCATGTGTAAGCCCAAATTGGCCTTAAACCTTAGATTTCTGAAGGGATTTAGGGTTGCACTAGTACAACAACCCCTAAGCCCTAAATCATAGGGTTTGTAAAAGTACCAAGATGTGTCAACCGGACCTATAAAATAATACCTCAAAATAAGCTATGCTGTTGAGGTATTATTTTATAGGTCCGATTGTCACATCCTGGTAGGGGTCTGGCTTAGTTCAGGATGAGGGCAAGCCCTAAAGGCCCAGTCCATAAGAGTGGCATTGGGCAAGGCACATAGCATATATGGTTGGTAAACCACGAAAATCTTCGATGGAAGGCAAACACTTGCTCACTACCACGGGGCTGCTCCACCAAGAATACAGCATGCACTGCCAAGATGAGGATCAGTAGGAGAACCAATCTCAGGGATATGATTCATGAATGCTTGCATGGTTCTAAAGGAGGCTATTGTCCCTAGATGATCCCTGCACATGCAGTAGGGCCCAGGATGTGTATCCATAGTGTAGTAGGTACCTGGGGGTTTTCTTTAAATGGGCCCAACCTAGACAGTGTCATAGTACCTTCTGCAACATAATCCAAGGAAGCCCGCCCACACGGATTAATTGCAGAACGAAGCGAGGTCCCTCGGTTGGTAGTGCACCAGCTTGAGCATGTAGGGGCCAGCATATTGAAAGAATTTGGGCCCTCCCGCATAACACAAGCCATTGCCAGCCTTAGATGCAGCTAGTGCACCAGCCACCTTGTAGATGTGCCTCTACTACATGCACTAGATACAAATACTACAGCAGCTGAGCCTTTAGCGCAAACCCTCCTGGAGACAGGAAGTTCATGGACTTACCCAAAGGGTCGTAGCTGGAGTCATAGGAGACACAAGTCCTCCCAGCTTGTCGGAACACTTGCGAGATTCTTGCCCGCCCACTGAACAGCTCAAACATCTGGATCTGCATCTCCAGGTTAATGTTCTGTGTCCACGTCAGCAGGAGAACCTCAAGGCTGCGTTGTGGCTGGGGTGTATACTAGGCTGATAGGAGCACATGCACAAGCTAATCTATCACGTACGTTGCTGAACTGTCCACTTGCAGCAGTGACACACATCCAATGAAGACCTTTGCTTGTTTGCCGGGCTACGGCTAGCTATTAATTAATATAGTGCGACTACATTCATGACACCAAAAGACCAGTACATGCAGCTTTCGGGATTGCACCTTTGGGGCCTGGAGCTGCATGAGGTTTGGCACGAGGGATTCCCATCGAGGGACTGGCATAGCTGTACCTGAAGACTATCATATGGTATATAATTTGCCCTGAAAAGTCTTAGCTAGCAGCTCGTATAGCTCGGGCCCTGACTTTGAGCCCACACAAGCACTAGAGGTGGCAACTTGTGATCAGCTTGTGCCATGCTTCACTGCTCACTTGCAGAACAAACATGTGGCATCTAAGCGAGTCAGTCGCTCCGCGGGATGATGACCGGCAGGCCCATCTCTCGAACTTCTTGGGCATTGCAAGAAGCCTGCGCACCCAGAACATGAAGCTGCACTTATAAGTATAGGCCCAGCATCAAGTGCACATGCACCAGCAAAACTCAGTGTGAAGTCATGATTTTCCACGAGTGATCTCGAAGTCCAAAAGGCATGTGACAAGGGCAATCTATGATTGATCAGTCCTAAGAGCCTGTAGAGGCCTTCAGCAAAATGTGCAGAATAGCTATCCCAGCAGAAGCACTCCCTGGCTCTGCCAGGTTTAAAATCTGCACTAACCCCTGGTGATCAATCCTACTGCTCCTCATGCTGCACCATCATCAAACCAGCTGGCAAAGCAATAGTACCATTCAGTCCGTGTCATGGTAGGCCTCGGTATGCACACAGAACATAACGTACTTGAACAAAATCGAACACAGCATGCATGCATAGTGCTAGTGAGAAACTTGACGGGCGATGTTGTTGGCTTCGTTCTTCGACATGCCCGCTGCTTCTGCATCACGCTTAGCTTTGTGGTAAGCACATGACTTTCGCCAGAGTCGCGCTTTCTCCTCCGACCTAGGATCCACCTTCACCTTGTTCTTGGCCTTGGCCTTTGCCTTGCCTTTGGCTGAGGCCTTCGACTTTGGCTTCCCCTTGGGGGTCTGCTGGCATTCCTTCTCCTTCGAGGCTCTGGTTTTGGCCTTAGCCTTGGGTTTAGTTTTTGCAGCTGGGCGCTTCATGGGTTTGTCCTCTTCCTCTACCTGCTCTGCCTCATCTTCATTCTGAGGCTCTTCCTCCTCACCCTCCATCCCTGCCTCATCCTCCTCCTGCTCTTCCTCTTCTTCACAAGCCGGCTGCTTCTTGCCACTCTGCTCAGCTGGGGAAAGGCTTGGCTTCATGTTTTCCATGCACACAGGCTTTGAGGGGAAGTCCTTGCCAACAGGATCATCTTTTGAATCTTTTGCAGATTCAGCAACAGCACCTTTCAGGGGACCTGGCTTCGATCGTGGAGCCTTGCGTGCTCGCTTCAGCTTTCTCACACGTCTGCGGGTTTTGCGGGCAGATCCCACACAGACCAACGGCGCCTCCTTGGGGATAGATTTTTTCGGCTTCCGGGATTCACACTCCTGGGGCTCATCATGTGTGGATTCCATCTCTGTCTCCTCCAGTTCAGATTCCTTTGGCTTCTCCGGTTCAGGGTCCTTTGGCTTCTCCGGTTCAGGGTCCTTTGGCTTCTCTGGTTTGGGCTCCTTTGGCATCTCCGGTTCAGGGTCCTTGGGCTTCTCCGGTTCAGGGTCCTTTGGCTTCCTGGGCTTGGGGTCCGGAGGGGGTGGACTGTCCTGGGGTGACTTTGGCAGGAGCCAATACCCATCCCCTCGTGAGGATACACTAGCACCATCAAAGCTCAGTGTTCGAGAAACATGGTCAAAAGATGGCTGCCGGTCGTGAGGCCACGCTTCAAGCGGCTGCGTCTCCATATTGTCAATGCCTTGGATTCACAGGGGGCTGGTTCACCAGGGTTATCATATTTGATTTCTGGCATGCACGACATTTGCAGGCATGCACGACATTTGCAGTCTCAGGTGCTAGCAGGGGCGGGGTTTGGAGGTGGTTCATACAGCCTGCGTTTCTTCTTGTCCTCCAAGTCCCTCACGACAGCTTGCAGGTGTGCCTGCAGGGTGTATATGCGCTATACATACATGCTGCTAGTATGCACACATGACATGCTAGCTGCTAGCATATAACTGCTGTCAAGGAACGAGCTCTTCCAGCTTCTTTTGCTTACCGGGATCACAAGCAGCAGTGGCCAACGCATCAGTTGTCGCAATCATGCCGCAAACAATGCACCGATAAGTTGCAGTTTGGGGCCCTCCGACAGACTGCACCACGTGCATGCGTCGTGTCTGCGGTGAAGGTGGTGGTGGGCTCATACCTGCACCATGAAATCGCGATCTTAAATATGGGCTAGAAGACACGTCAGTTTATTGCCAGCAAAATACTTCCAGCAGCATTCTTGAGCTCCCCATCATCCACCATATTGCCTTTAGGGGATATGCTGCTACAGCTACACACTGGCCCGATATAGCAAACTGCATGCACAACGATAAATTGAGATCCCTATCGCGCCTGAGGCTGGGGCCACCGAGGAATCTTGCATCTCTTGCAAAGGCACATGAACTTTGGGTGATGCTTTCGGATCTGGTGCACAGCTCTTGCCACAGTCGGTGGCTTTGGATGCTGGCTTCATGTCTTCGGTGGCTTGCAGAACTGGCTGAAGGCTTTGGATGTCTTCGGTGGCTTGCAGAACTGGCTGAATGCTTTGGGGGTCTTCGGTGGGTTTCTGAACTGGCTGAAAGCTCTGAGGATGTTCAGAGGCATTGGGAGACGGCTCAGGTCCATTAGGTTCACTGCTTACAGATCCCTGAAGTTTCCCAGTTTGCATGCCCATCCTGCGCAGCTTTGGTGCACGCTCCAGGGCAATCATAGCATCTTCCTTCTTCTCCTCTTTCACACTCTCGATTGGTGGTGCAATGAGAGTACTATCCTCATCATGTGTCTGTGGAGGCAAAGGCTGCCCATCCAAACATGGATCCTCCTCAAACTCAAACTCTTCCTCCCCTAGTTCGAACCCCTCATCATCACAATCACTGTCATTCCCAGCCCTGGCCGCAGGAATGGGAACCCCCGCCACTGTCATCAAGCGGCGGATTGCTGCAGACCTCGGCCTGTGAGGCCGGCCACAGATGCGGTTGAAAGCTGAGGAAAGCCGCTTCAGTGACCATGCAATGGTACCAGCCTGTTGACCTGAGTGAGCTCTATATACCTCTCTCTTTCTCGCTATTCTCTGTCTTAAGTTATAATATATCTCACCCTCTCACTATTTGTCTTTCTCACCTGCTCTGCTCCTCTCTCTCTCTCTCTCTGGCTCTCTCCCTCTCTTAATTTTTGCAGTCACTCAACTCCAGATGAGAGACTCGTGATAGGCAGCTTCATCTCCTGGTAAAGGGCTGTTATGTGGACCTCGAGGGTGTCTACTCCGACACGGGTACCAATATGTCGAATTTGTTCTTGTAGCACATCCTCATTGAGTCCGACTGCAGCTCGGTCTATCACTCCTGAAGCTGGCATGCGAACCTTGGACAGCAGATCATGCATATATGTGTGCATGTATTAATGCTTTAAAACATGCACATGGGCTCAGAAGTGCAGCTGACCCACTAGATGGTACGCAGTAGCACGGCGGCGGACCGAGCTCACAGCTTCCCACGCACGGGCGAGATCCGTAGAGGAATTCATATCGTCCATCGCAGCAGCTTTCATGATCACAGATCACAGGACGATGATCACTGCTATGTAGATTCGACACAGGCCATGCATCACCATTCATGTCAATCGAAGATGATGCATGTATTGCCAGCCATGATGCTGCAGCATGTACCATGCATATGTGCACGAATGGCATACTGCAGTACATGCAAAGCTCATGAGCAGCAGCACAGCTGCATAGCAGCAGGGGCTGGGCTGACCTGCTTGCCAGGATGAGCGCCACCACAGCTGGCACCAGCCACCTGGCGATCAATTTTGATTGCTGCTCCCACTGCATACTGCTCAGTGACAGCCAAGGTATGACCAATATGGACAACATCACGCTGCTGATTGCTCATGATGCTATTGGTGGGGGGGCCTCCAAAAGACCACCATCGGCACAGTCACAAGGATGCCATGCTTGGAAGCCCCTTAGGATTATATAGATCAAATACCACATGTGCATGCATGTGGCAGCTGCCAGCTCGATCCTTGCATGGTCATCAGTCTGAGCCACTGAGTGCTCATGGATCGGCCTGTCACATTTCGGCACGATTTAGGGATTTCGGATCGTTGTGCACGTTTCGACCCCTCTAGAAACCCATAGAAGGAGATTAGCTACAAAGGGCAAACGAGCAGGAATTTACGTATCAAAAGAAGCAACAGGCAGGTTGGCTTTCTGGCATACAGGTGGCTAGCTATGCAGTCTGAGACAGTGATCCCTGTGATCGATCTATAATCTACGGTTTAGGGTTTAGGGTTTATAGGGTTTAGGGCCTATATAATCTCTATCATCCGCAACATGAGGCTATGCCAGCAGGCAAACGTCCTCAACACCCCGAGCCACGAATGACGTTCGCCAAATCACTCCGCGTGTCTCAGAGCCCTAACCTGCACCTTAGGCATTATCGCTAGCTGCAGCTGGTCCTTAGGCCCCTAAGTAGTTCCTTTTTGGGATTACCTTATAGGGTTCTAAATATAATCCACAAAAGGAACTACTTAGGGGCCTATGGGTAGTCCTTAACAATCATACGACCACTCACGTATGACATAAAGCGCTGAATCGTAAACTCTCGAATCCTGGCCGTACAATAGAAAAAAGTTACCCATAGGCCCCTAAGTAGTTCCTTTTTTGGGAATACCTTATAGGATACTAAATATAAGCCACAAAGAGGAACTACTTAGGGGGCCTATGGG